TATATAATGTTTTTATGAATTTTTGAGGAAAACTAACTAATCTACATAATTATATGTACTGATATAATAATGGGTTGGATCCGATTTCGAAAGGCGGTGGATGTAATTTCTTTTATTAAACACACATTTTTTTTAAATTAAACCTAATATTTGCTAGGAATTTCCTCGGAAATGCATAAAATAAATGTTTTCCTCGGAAATGCGTAGGAAGTTCCGAGGGTTTTCCGAAGAAAATTAACTAATCTACATAATTATATAAACTGAAATAATAATGGGTTGGATCCTATTTTCGAAAGGTGGTGGATGTAATTTTTTTTATTAAACATACAAAAAAAAAATAATTAAACCTAACACTTACTAGGAATTTGCGAGGAAATGCCTAAAATAAATGTTTTCCTCGGAAATGCGTACAAACTTCTGAGGGTCTTCCTAGGAACGGTCAAGTTTTTGTTTGTTCTAGAAATGTCCTAGGAAGTGAGTAAGAAATTCCGAGGAATTTCCGAGGAAAATTATTTTACAGAATTCTAGAAAATCCCTTGGAAATGCGTAAGAATCTCCGAGGAAAAAAGTTCCTAGGAAAATTTCGTAGGAAGAGGAGCCTTTTTCTAGTAGTGAAACTAATCTTTCATATTTTTTCAAGTCAATGACATTCAATTTCAATTACATATTTTACATTTATATTGTCCTATCATATGAATGACATTCGGTTTACTACATTTTTGTTAGATTATGAAAAATCCTCGGTTCGTTTGCATTTCTCAACAATATATAATATACAATGTTTCAATAGGGTCCATACATTATACACATATAATCCAACAAAGTATTCTAACACACCCCTTCAGTCTGAACGGGGAGGATCTCGAATAATTGCAAAATAGAATAAAAAACAAGGGAAAAGTAGTGTACTAACAATTCTTCTTTATAAAAAACCCGGTCGTCTTCCCCTACATATGCATGATACACAATGTTCATGCAATCATGCCGGCTCTGATAGGGATATGTTCCGGAAAATCTCACCCTAGAATATTGTAAGAAATGAGTTGTATGAAAAGTTCCATTTTTGATGGACACAATGTAGGCGATGTATCAATTATAGGAGTAGTATTGTTATTCATCAAAACAAACATGGTCCTTGTTCACCTAAAGTCGAGAATCTTTCTAATTCTTAATCATTTTTTTCTTATCTTTAACAAGCAAATTACCGTTACGGTGAGGAAAGGTGTAACTATAATAATAACAGTTACCATGGAAAAATACCTGAAAATAAAGAGATTCAGAAGAATCTCTAAATCACGACAAATCATCTCAAAGACAAATCATCTCAAAGGCAATAACTTTTCCAACGGCGTTGGAAATTAGTTGGTTAATAAGGAGCTCATGGAATTTGAGAACTTTAGAGTAGAAATATGAGATAGGAGGCCTAAAATTAACTAGCATCAAAAACGTTAATGTAAATCATATATTTGTCGGGAGTGTGAAGGATAATTAGATATTCCAACACAAAATCATAATACGACCCTCTTCATGAAAAATATACTTTTCTTAAGAGAAATTAAATATCCTCCTACTTTTTTTTTTCCTAATTATCTTTGTACCCATTTGAACTGATGAAAAGTGTCCTAAATATCATTAGTTTATCTAAATATGACACTTGTCACAATTTCATGTGGGTAGAAAGATAAATAGGAAAAAATGTAGGAGGATATTTAATTTCTCTTTTCTTAAAGGACTTTTATTTGAGTAGGCGTAGGAAAAATTCCTAAAATAAACAACATTTATGAAACTAGAAAAGATGAAGGAAAGAAAAAGAGAAGGAAATGTCTCTAAACCTCTATAAATAAGGAAGAGGAAGAGAGATAATTAAAATAATAATCATGAGGATAGTTAGTTACTAACATGCTCCCCCTAAAAAATGACCTTAACGATTTGCATATCTCAGATCACAAATCAATGGACGGTTACTCACCACTCTAGGAAGACCAGTGATGCCACCGAATCAGTCGAGAACTCTCTATTTCGAGCAGTAGAGCAACCTCCTTATAACAAATTACTGCCATAGTAGTGTGACATCACATAGCGACAACTTCACAACACCTCATTGTTGGTGATTTTGTATCATCAATGTGTATTTATGTATAGTGGATTGACTTGTTGACCAAAAATCAATCTTGATGAATATTAAACAAGTAAATAAGGTGCGGAGTGCACACTTGTTTAAGTTCATTCAAGATTCAAAGTAGACTGTCATTTAGGGGAGAGGCACCTAAACGAACAGGGGTCCAGGGGCAACGCCCCTGGGAGCAGGGTCCAAGGTGCGGCAGCCCCTGGCGGGGTCCAAGGGACAGAGCCCCTGGCTGGGGTCGAGCTGGTTTTGACAGTTGGAGTAGTTTTTTACTTCATTTTGACCTTAGAAATCTGAATTTTCTGTAATTGAACCTGGTTTTTTTGACTTCATTTTGACCTATTAATGATCTAGTTTTAGTGACAATTTATGACTGTTATAAAATGGTTTTGATAGTTGAAGTAGTTTTTCGAAAAAGAAAACTACCTTAACAGTTTTCTGAAAAATGAATTACTTAATCATTTTGGTCGTCATTTTCCTGGTACAACAACAATAACGAAAATCATACTTCATATTCCATGTTCTTGAAACTCTTCCGAGTCTTGTCCGATTAAGGTTCGGAGTACCACCCAAATACTATAAGTGTACAAACGATTCTCAGAATTTCCAATCCTTTTATTACCCCGAAGATCTAACAAAGATTAAAGTATATATGTGATCATGGTAAGTGGCGATTCTGTGAAGGACATGCAAGCAAGTTTGATAAGTTGGTGAAGTTTGAAGGCCAAGACTTTCGTAGATGGCAGAAGAAGATGAAGTCCCTCTTGACCACTCTGAAAGTGGTGTATGTTCTTTGTACACCCATGCCAGAATTTGCTGAAGATGAAACTTTTGAGGCAACAAGAAGGAGATCAAAGTGGGACAATGATGACTACATATGTCGTGGTCATATTCTCAATGGTATGCCTGACTCTCTTTTGATATCTATCAAAATGTCGAATCTGCAAAAGAACTGTGGGATTCTCTTGAATCCAAGTACATAATTGATGATGCTTCTAGTAAGAAGTTTCTCGTTGGTAACTTTATGGGTTACAATATGGTTGAATCCAAGCCTATTATAGAACAATTCCATGAAATGTTAAGGATCATGGGACAGTTTGCTCAACACAATCTGAAAATGGATGAAGCCATTTTTGTGGCTGTGATCATTGACAAACTTCCCCCTCCCTTGAAGGATTTTAAATACAATCTGAAACATAACAAAGAGGAATTGACTTTTACTCAACTTGGAAGCAATTTACGGATTGAAGAGTCCTTAAGGACTCAAGAACTTGATAACAATCCCAAAAGCAAGAACCAAGTTGGTCCCTCTTCTGTGAATATGGTGGATGGAGAAGGATCAAAGAATCAAAAGAAGTCTAATGGAAAAAGGAAATTTAAAGGAAAGGATGACAAGTCTTCCAACAATAAGGATAAAGTGGTGCGTTGGAATTGTAACAAACTGTGTCACTTAAAGAAAGATTGTCATTTTCGTAAAGTGAACAAGGATGGTGCTGGACCAAGTGGATCCAAGGATCCAGAAAAGCAACAAGGTCTGATTTCTGTTTTCATGCAGAATTCTAAATATATTCAGAATTATATTTCTGTGATTTCTGAAGCATTTTATGTGCAGGATGATAATGTTGCATGGTGGGTTGATTCGGGAGCAACAAGTCATGTTTGCAAAGATCTATATTGGTTCAAGGACTTTCAACCAATTGAAGATGGATCTGTTGTGAAGATGGGAAATATTGCAACTGAACCAATCAAGGGCATATGATCTGTTTTACTTACTTTTACTTCTTGGAAATGTTTGTGTTTGAATGGCTTCTAGTAGTACTAGCACTAATTTTAATAAATTTGAATTATGGCATGCTAGACTAGGACACATTCATTACAAGAGATTAAAAGACATGTCTAAAATGAGTTTAATTCCTGCTTTTGATATGCAAAATAATAAAATTTTTAAAACATGCATGCTAACTAAAATCACTAGACAACCTTTCAAAGATGTTGTTAGGGAAAGCAATGTGTTGGATCTTATACATAGTGATTTATGTGATTTCCATGCAACAGCTTCCCTTGGAAACAAAAAGTATGTTGTTACTTTTATTGATGATGTATCTAGATATTGTTATGTCTATTTGC